TTGAATTCATTAGTGCATATGGCATGCAGAGACAGTCAATATTTAATGTTAGAGTAATCTGATCTATCTACATTTTACTGTGCCTACAGGAGCTGAGTTCATTGAGTTGTCTCTGGTTGGTGTTTCCACAGATGTGTGTTATGTTTCTAGAAGTAAATGTAGTGATTAATGTGTAGAAGTACTCTTTGACAGGTTCAGAGCTGATGTGAACTTGTAGTTTAGGGTAGGGCTTAGCCGAGTATGACCCACAGTGGGGCTGTAACATGCTGGACAGGGCGCCCCACAGTCCCCATCAGGGGTGGCCTAGCGGACACAGTCATTTTACAGGGGAGGAGGTAAGTGTTTGGTTACAGTCTTAAACAAAAAAAAGCCACGCTTCTAATTCCCTCTTCTTCTCCTCCTGTTTCCCTCGGCCTCACTAACCATTATGTCAATTTAATTCTCACTCTGTTAGTTCCTTCTCCCATCAAGCTCAATCCTCCATATTAATTTCAAAAGAGCTCCAAGACTCACAGTTAAAGATGGCACCTGACTAAAACTCGTTCTGCCCTCCAGGAACTTAAAATTCTCCTCCTGCAACATTTTTTGTTTTCTCTTTTTTATCGTGTCTGTGAGTCATTTTCCTCCCTGTTCATTCAACTATAAAGTAACTCACAATGATTTTTTTTTTATTTTTTTTTTACTCAAATTGTTTTTGCAGTTATGCTTTTAGGGGAAATCAGTGTGGGGTCTTTTCAGCTGTGTTTTTGTTGATGTAGAACCACTTTGGATAATGATCAGATACATTAGGAAATCTCCCAGACAGGAAACTATGTAGCTTAATAGAAGGAGGGATGTAGCATCATAACACTTTAAAGTTGTAAGCATTGAGATAATCTCCAGCTACATAAAATCCATCCACTGCATGTGTTGAAAAATGTACTTCCTTCCTTGTTTCATACAGCATCCAAACCATTTAATTATGGAGGGAAAACATGCGTTTGTCAGAAACCAGGGCATTACCATTAGTCTGTAGCTTATTAAGCTTACAGTGGGGAATGTTTAAATTTGGCTAAATATGATACACCCATACTTCTTCCATGATGCACAGTTCACAGCCTGCAGCAGCCGTATGAGTCTGAGTCTGACAGTGATGACAGCATGATTAATGCTCAAAGTCATTCCCTCTCAAACACTAACTTCACTCACTCAGCCCTCATGGCATGCTTAAGAAAAACATAAATAAACTCCTCAGTGAGATAACTAAAGTTTGCATTGCTGCATAAGCAGAATCTATCAACATGATTGCAGAGAAAATGTATTTTTGGTTCATTATTAATATTTCAAATTATCTATCTATTCTGTATTTCTATTTTTTGCACTTCCTGCTTGAGCATGCAGCACTTTGTTATTGATTTTTACTGTTAGCACAGTATGTTTATAATGTACATACTTATTATGAAACATGGTTTCTCAGCAATCAGTTGTTTTTCATTAGTCAAATAACATTTTGCTTTTTTTATTAATAGGATTGAACTGAACTATACATTTCTGGATCTGACAAGATGACTTGATTATATTGAAGTAACATTTATTTATTCAAACTGCAATTTTAAGAAGGTTCCTTATTTTTAGATGTGAACTGGACCTGTGGACTGTTTGGTAATATATAAGTAAAGTAACTACAACACGCCCTGAATTGTCAAAGCCACTTAATCATTACATCTCTGAATGTTAAATTAAAATGTTCAATGAGATTTTTCATTTTCTGTTTTTGGGTTTTTAAGAACTGGCCAAGAATTAAACTGAACAAAGTTTTGGAGAATTGTATTCTCCTGGGGTCCATTTAACAAAGCAGGTTTAACAAACTCAGACTCAAATCCTGAACTCTGAATAGATCTAGCCTAAGGTTGGAAACTGTTTTCGGTTTCACAAAGACTGCTGTGAGTTAGTTTAATTAACTCTGAATAGGTGATTTCTGAGTTGAGCATGTGCATAAAAATTATGCAGTTTCCCTTTAGAAAACGTAGTTTTCGGTAAACCTGCTTTGTCAAACAGACGCCTGTATGAGTCGCTACATTACTCACTGACAAAAACCCAACAAGCATTTTATAATAATAATAATCTAAAAGTAGTAAATATTGAAAGTAGAACCTAGTTTAGGGCAAACAAATGAACTGGTATTTTTTTCATAATTGAACATTTATTGATTTTATCAAAGAGAGGAAATGTAAAAAACTACAAATAATTGGCAAATTAAGAAAAATGTATAAGTACTTAAGAACTTAGGCGAAACTTTACTTTTTCATTCAAAGAGTAAATAAACCGAGCTTAGGATGAGTTGGAATAATTTTGCATCAATCACTTCTAATATGATGTGGTCCGAAAAATAGTAATGAGTTCTGTTACTTCCTGAAAAACAGTGGATACATAGCTTGGAAAAAGGCTGTACAGCCATATTCAATATATTACAATGTTAGCAAACAGTTATTTTATTTCACTAAGGACATTTTAATCGGATACACACATTTTTAAGCCTATATTGATTTAGGCTTATTGCGTTGCTTATTCTAATTCATATAATCATTTATTTCCTGTCAATGCCACGTGTTTATCATATACTGTAGACTGTTTAATGTACAAAGCATTTAAAGATGTAAGGCAAGGCAATTTTATTTGTATAGCACAATTCGGTTCATGGGTAGTTCAAAGTGTTTTACATTGATTAGATGAAATAAAAACAGAATAAAATGAATAAATTAATTAATTGGACCACAAAAAATCAGAAGAAAAGCAAGTAAAATAAATAAATAAATAAATAAATAAGACTGAAAAATTTTAATTATTCGGTAAAGCTTTCTTCTAAAGTACATCAACAACCATGTAATAACATGGTAATAAAATAGCAAGTTACGCTATATTACTAGGTAAAAATGTAAGTGCTGTGCTTCAAATTTTAGGCACACAAGTGTCAAACTGTTACCAGGTAGCTCAGTCATTTCACCGACCGCAATAAATTAATGTGTTATAGTTTATTAAAATACTGTTTATTACTTTGCATATAACAGAAAACCAAACCTAGAGTAAAGCAAGACAATCTTCTTTACTAAACTCGTATTTATATGTAACATTAGATCAGTTTTATAATGCTTTATTTACCTGATCATAAGTTACAATTTACTTTGTAAGCTGTTGGTAGGGGGTGGCTAATAATAGAAACTGTGATGTGGTAACCTGATGGTAATTACCCAACAAAAGTCTCCATTGTTAGATAGTAACAATCAATTGTAATAATTACAGTACATGCAGGTATTTACCTACCCATATACCTTAATCTACTAACCTGTTACCAAGTAATACAATGCGACTTGCTATTTTATTACCATTTTATTACATGGTTATTGATGTACTGTAAAACAAAAGCATGAGCAATAATTCATCTCAAGCTAAGACTCGTTTCACCAGAAATTCAAGACGAAATTAATAAACACTACTTTATAATAGGGATAATTTTACCTTCTATTAATAAATTTAGGATCAAGATATTTAAGAATGTGTGGGTAAAAAGAAATCCATAGAAAGCAATCAAGCATTTTTATACATGTGCAATAAAATTGGTCTATACATAACAAGTGTAGGGAAAATTTTTTTTAATATCAAGTCAATTTGGATATTCAAGCACACGGAAACCAGATACTACCATTTCTTTTAATTCTGCAAAAATGAAAAAAAATTCCTCAATCAAATCTTTCAGTCACTCGTACAGCAATCCAGCAAATGCCCAGTCTTCATCTGTAATTTCCACAATTAGTTTTCAGGAAACGAAATTTAACTCAGCCGACGACAAAATGAGCCTAAATCTGCCAGCAACCACTGAGGCATTAAAACACTTCTGCGGTCCATTCATCCTTCAACAGTTTCTGAGGGGATGCAGGGATGTGAAGGAGCTCCTTCTAAAAACTACCTTTGTTAAACTCACCATATTCATCAATCTTGGAGAGGCATCCATAAAGGAGCTTGTGTGGAAGAGGAAGAGGATGTCTGAATCCGGGGGCTGCCAGGGGCCAAGTGGTCAACCTGAGACAGAGGTATCGCAGGTTGGCATGACAAGTCTATGCCAGTCTCTGCCAAGACAAGCTATCAGCCCGCATAGACAAATCTCCTGACAAGTGCTTTCAGTGTGCGAAAAAGTAAACCCAGACTGCCAAGTCTAACAGAAAAGCTTCATGGAATCTATTAAAACTCTGCTTTTGTGTTTATCATGCTTCACTTGGATATTGATGTGATTGTGATATATGAAATCTCATCAAAAGTAAAAATCAAGCATCAATGACACAAGTTTTACGAGCATCCAAAGTTCACACATGGAAACGTTTTTCTTTATGGGAAATGTTTTGATTGTGTTATAAAAACCCTGTCAGTAATAATTACTTGTTGATATTTGGACATGATTTCTCAACGAGTCTGTGTTGTATGCTCTATGATCAGTCATTGTTCATTACACCGTGTGTATTTATAAACTTTGATCTTCCTTATATTCTGTAATGTTTGGCCACAAATTAAAGTTTTTTGTGATATATTACTTATCCAGCATAAACTACAGAACAGTTGGGAAGTGGAAAGAGATGTATATATGGCTGTTTAAAAAATTCAAATAAAAGAAAAGCAATGTACATTTGTTTTCAATAAATCAGTGCATGACATTTTTTATTGTCACTAAATCCCCCCAAAGCTACATGTGCTTTGTTTAAATAATCTTAAACTTTAGTTAGTTTATATATATATATATATATATATATATATATATATATATATATATATATATATATATATATATATATATATATATATATATATATATATATATATATATATAAATGATTGCATAATTTTTTTCAGCGTATGTGTTCAAACCCTGAGGTATGTTTTTATAACGTTACCCTTTGAAATTCTTTAACATTTTTCTTCCAGACCTGCTGTTTTCTTACTCGTGTTCTCCAAAGCAAAAAATCTCTGAGACCTTCATGGGGAAGATATATTTTTATTTAGGTTAAAATGCGTCTGTGGGTGAAGGCGGCTAAATAGAAGATCCACAACAGTTTCCACTATTCTTTGTTGTTCGGTTACATCAAATCTATGGTACAACTTATGCATGGGATGTGTTGCATGTAGGAAAACGGCCATTTAATCCCAATAAAGTTAAGTGAAAAGTTTGGTCATATTCAGAATTCAAACTTCTGAAAGTATTTCAAATATGAAATTATTGCATACTTATCAATAAATGATAAATGTTTTTAATTAAGAGTAATTTAATTTGAACATGCTTTACTGGAGACATCCATGTTTGTTAAAGAACACTATCGCCACCCACCGGTTTGTGATGTCACGGTGCTGTATCGGCTGTTGAGCAAGTCCCAATGCTGTATCTGGTGATTGTCACAATATGCTATTATCCAAATAATTATTTTTGGAAATGTTGGCTACATATTACGTGTTTTTTCTCTGGCAAGAAATTTGATGGCAAATCCTCCCTCTTCAAGTAAGCAATCCAATGACAAACCCGTCCATGGAGCATCATGAATCGGAAAGCTGAAATAACCAATTTATTGCTCACTTTTACCCGATGAATTACAACGTCCAACTGCCATGCACATGGGGGTTGTGACTTTACCTATAGCTCTCAAGAATTTTAATTGCGAAGTCCTCCCGAAATCTAAAATATTTGATGTTGATTGCAGGTGTGTATAATAGTTCCCTTTGATTTTGCTTGTAAAGCGGGGAGGATGGCCTTTGGCTTACGGCACCGTGACATCACTGCCAGAAGATGTTAGGAGTGAGGTGTTACTATCTTTCAGCAAAAATGTCCGTTCCCGTACTCAGTGATTGTGACAAAAATTACAGTTTTTATTTTTTTACTGATTAACGCTAAATTGATTAAGTCACCACAAACATATTATTTTTAGGTATAGATACTGTAATGACCCATTGATTATTTTTTTGCTGACCTGACTTTTCCCCTTAAGCCCGTTGCTTTATCTTTAAGTGACTTGCTGTAAATGTCTTATAGAAAGAGCTTGTTGAAGCAAGCTGTACAGTAGGGCTTTCCTTTCTGCTCCTTGAAGATGCCTTGGTTGAGCTGCCGCAGACAAAAGGCACAAACAAAGTGCTCAGGATGAAATCTTCGATCGAGAGCCGAGACGCAGCGGCCAGTAATAGGCTCCCCACAGCCCCCACAAAGGGTCCCCTGCCTGGAGTGAAAGTGCAGGGAACAGAGAGGTCGACCATCCAGTTCCATGAAACAACCATCGGTAAACGGCTTCAGACAGTCCTAAATGTTCAAAATAAAAAAGTAAGTGTTACTGGAGGAAGTAAAAGATTAGAAATGATGTTAAGCAAGCTGGAGGTGATACTCTATCTTAAAACAAAAGTCAAACCTGCGTTTTAGAAGAGAAAAAAACATTTGCTCTGAAACATGAGAGTATTATATTTTATATTTTATCAACTCTACTGATCTGTGATTTAATATATGATTATTATGGTTATTTAGTCTACTTTTTGTTTACATTCTGAATTTTTCTGCATACTTTGTACACTGGTCGAGAGATTCTGAAATCAAAACTGAAAAAATTAAAAGACAGCTTTCTTTAAAATACTGTGATAATTAATCCATTTAAAAACTTTGGGATCCTTTCGGAACATTTAATTAGTAAGCAAACAAATGTTTTCTGTTTTTATCCACTTCTGTAGACATATTAGAATTTATTTCACACTGTTTTTCCTTTATACGTGTACTATAGATGTTTTATTTTTATTTATTTATTTCACAAGAGAAAGCAGCTTTCAATGAAAAAGATCTCTGCTGTATAATGAAATCTAACCAGTCTCTTGAGTTGAGAATGCCCTGTGCCACTAGCGATCGTGGGATGGAAATAACACTGAGAAAACCTTGTCTACAGCTGCGTCTTGCAAAAGAACCTCAGCCTTTTATGAGGATGTTGGGTGTAATGACTCATGCAAACTAAATATCTCAAACACAGGCAAATGTGCAGATCAAAAACTGAGAACAAGTAGTCAGCAGGATGTTTTGATACGATGGGGAACAGTCTCACTGCCCAAGGTCTCTTTCCAACAAACGCTAACACAAAAAATAACATGCATAAAGCTTTGAGCCTAAACATTTTTCTACTACTTGTGTATATATCTTAGCAGAGACCTAGTACATATTTAATGAGATTCAAGATTTTAGTACTTTCACATTTTTTGTGGAACCCAGAATCTTATATCATTACTTATTAGACAGTAAACAGATGTTGTTGGGTTTGGTGTTGTAAGGAAAGTATAAAGTTACTTAAACACCCTTTAATTTACTTAAATGTTCAGTCTTTTTATGGCATGCCCTTAAGATCTAGAATCCAATTATTCTTCATTTCATTTACAGATTCAAACTATGCTCAGAAAAATAAACAATGCTCAGAAACATAGCAGTGTGAAAAAGAATTTGCCCACTTCCTCATTTTGCTTTTTTAACTTTTATAACTCTGAAGTATTTTAAAGCATCAAGCGCCTTCAAATATTAGTCAAACACAATACAAGTAAACACAAAATGCTATTTTTAAATGAAGGATTTATTAAAGAAGAAAAAAGTCCAAAGCTTGTCAAAAAGTGATTGCCCGCAAAGTGAATAACTGGTTGGGCCTCCACAACAATTGCAATCAAGTATTTAAGATACCTTGTCGTCTTCTTTTTTCACATTGTGGAGGAATTTTGAATAATCTTTTTAGAATTGTTGTCATTAGATGATTTTGAAACATGAAAGTCTGTTTTAAGGCAATACCAATGTCTCAATTGGACTCAGGTCAGGAATTTAAACTGGTCTTCATTTCTTTGTTATAAGGCCATCCAGAGGTGGACTTGATGATGTGCTTCGGATTTTTTGATATACTGCAGGTGATGAAGAAGCAAAACAACCCTAAAACCACCAACCTACCACCAACATATTTCACTGTTTGTATGATGTTTTGCTACAGGCCAGATCTAGTTGGACACAAAGCTTCTGAAAAGTTCAACTTTTGTCCCATCAGTTCACAGAACATTATTGCCAGAAGCCCTGGGGATCATCAAGATGTGTTCAGGAAAAAAAATCGATGAACCGTTTCTTTATTTTTGTTCTTGTTGTTTTGTTTTAGGTGGAGGCCCGAACGCTGACCTTAACTGATGAAACTGAGGTCTGCAGTTCTTGGGATGTTGTTTGGGGGTCTTTTTTGGTCTCTTTGATTAATTGTGACTTTACTCTTCGGATAATGTTTGTCACCAATCAGTCGTGGATGATCTCTCATTGTGTCTCCCTGGAGATTCTAAGTTTTAAAATTGACTTTTTGGCCCTTTTCAGGCTGATAGATCTCATTTACTTTTTTTCTCATTTGGGTCTCTGCATGATGTCAAGCTTTTGAGGATCTTTTAATAGTTTTTTTAATTTTGTCAGCATGTACTAACCTATACTTTGTGATTTCTTTACAACATATAGATGTGACAGTATTAAGGCCTGATTTTGGCAGAAGAAAGCAAACTCAGTTAAGTTTAACTACAGTTAAGTTTTACCACAGCAGTCCAATTACTTTTTTCAATTTCATGATAAAGGCTTTTTCTATATAAAAAAAAAGAACTTTGTGTTTGTCTTTGACTAGTATTTAAATTAATCTGAAACACTCAAATGTGACAGACATGCAAATAAATAAATTTAAAAAAATCTGTGTTTCATATGCAAAAATTTAACCTGTTGTTCTCCCTACTTATAAAATAAAACATCTAGACAGCTAATGTTTTAAAAGATACTTAATTGAAAATGTGAATGTTACAGTGAACCATAGAGGTGTCATCATAATCTTGGATAAAAATTATTCAGGTAAAACTATTTTTTTTTTTTTTTAATTTATTTTTTTAGAGTGTATAAAAATGTAAACATTCAGTTTTAAATCATAGCATTTGGTTATTTTTCTAAAGGCCGCTAGATTGATTTTATTTTTCTGTATCACTGCATATCCAAGAAGATGTCAGAATAAAAAAAAAAAATGACTTAATTAGAGTAAAGGTCTTTTGGCTTTTTCATGAATATTTATTTAGTCTTGTAGCAGATATGTATATATATATATATATTTGTTTTTCTTTTGAATTGGTGTTATAAATGTCACTGTATGTGCTGTACAGTATACATTCACATTTATTATGTTTATGGACTTAGGTTGCTGTATGTTCTTGTTTGCAGAAATTTTGTTTCACAAGCTGGATTGATTAGATAGAGTAAAGAAAAATAAAAGGGCCTTTTTTGTTTTAATAGATGAAGGAAATTCCCCTGAGTAGGCAAGAAGTGCAACTGCAAACTGAATCACCTCTGACCGGCTGCTGTGCACTGCAGTGGCTTTGAAGAGGATATAAAAGATACCCACAGAGAGAGAATATGGTTTCCTTGATTTATCTGCAACATTTCGACCTCAACATTTTCATCAGCATATGGTTTGCATCAGCTCTGTGGTCAAAACGATGCAAACAAAGCAAGTGTGTGGGTATCTTTCTCATTTATTCTCAAGGTTGTGTGTGAGCACGAGCTGTATGTGTGGTCCGAGTTGGAGACTCACTGCGCAGACGAAGCACTCTGGATGCCAGGTGCCATTGGCTGCAGTCAGGTAGTTTTCTCTCACGGGCTCCCCGCAGCCTGAGCACTTGGGAGCAAAGAGGTGATAAAAGTCCTTGCAGCAGTACGGTTTGCCATCCTTTTCAAGGAAACCTTGATAGGTAGAGGATACGCTTAGATGTGTAATAAACATTATTTTTGTTCTAAGGTAAATACATTTGCAAACATCTCACCCTCTGGCCCAAACAGATCTCCACAGTGTGTGCAGAAGAAATGCTCCGGATGCCAAGTCTGGTCCAGAGCTGTCAGGATGTTCTGGTGAAAAAAGAAAATGCCAAAAGTATTACATCTCTATTTTACTTTCTTCAGGGATTAGTGGAGGTTGTCTCATCTCCTATATTTAAATGCGAAGAAACACAAAGAATGTGGACCTAGACCACATGAGGAGAATCACTGGAGATGCTGCATTAGTTTCTGATGAATGTCTTTGGTCTGCAGCATGAGGTAATCCCAGCCTGCAAAACCACCGGTATGGTTTTTCCTTTAATTTATTAGCATAACATATGGGTTAGGCCAAGAAAAAAAAAAGCTACATACAACATGTCATCACGCAATCATCAAAATATGATTGTGCGGATTAATGGATGTTAAATCTGACTGGATGATTTGAATTATGAATCAGGGGGACTGTATGTGGGTGGTTGGGCAGGGTGAATAAATGCTGCATAAACTAACTCAATGCTATGCTTATGAATATGAAAATCAGTTTCTCTACATCTTTTCAATGTCTTTTAAACTAATTCTCGTTACACATGAGGAGGGAGCAGCACGAACAATTTTAAAAACAAGAGGAGGATTTTGACAAATGAGCAATAGATTGTACAAATGATGAAAAGGTCACATAGATGGCACTATAGGACATACACATAGATTATTTGTCACATAAAGTGGATTGCAGGGTTAGTTTTTAAAGTATTTCCACAAAGATTAATATTTCCTGTTCTGCTATTTCTTATAATGGTACCTGTATTATTGGCCCTTTGCAGTAGGCACAGCGTGGAGAAAAGAGCTGATGATAGTCTTTGTCACAGTAAGGTCGTCCCTCTCTTTCAAAGAAGCCTGTTGTGCTTAACTCCATTTTACATGCCACACATACAAAATGCTCAGGGTGCCACACTTCACCCAGCGCTGTGATCATCTAAAAGAAATAAGTTAAAATGAGTGAATATAGAATTGACCTTGAATCAAATTTGCATCCAAAGGTTCTTGTTGTACCTTTCCCACAATCCCTTTGTTGCATGCAGCACAGTGGCCTTTGGCAGTGGTGCGTACACCAATCTTCTCCAGGTCAGAACTCAGACCTCCCAGCAGGTCATCTATGGAATCTGTTTTGTTGTTCTGTTGTTTCTGAGTGCAGGGTTTTGAATCTGAACCTGCAAGGCCGCTGTCTTCCTTATGATCCAGTCTCCCACCCTCTTTTTTCATCTTTGCAGATTGCTTCTGTGCCAGAGGTGGTGGGATTGGTGGCGGTGAGTGGTTCTAAGAGAGTGATATAGAAAAGGAGAGAGAATTATAAGGGTTTAAAAAACAGAATATAAACAAGTTGTTACATCAAAGTTTGTTGGTTAATGTTGGCTCAATGCTGCCCTCTGCTGTTTAAATGTATTAATTTATTTTTATTTCCAGAGGCAGACCACTTGAATAGAAAACTGTCAAGGACCTGCATATTAAAACAAATCTATGAAAAAATGAAAAAATAATTGAAAGGACCTACAGAAAAACTACATTTAACTAGATGACTGTAGATGAGTCCAGCCTGAGAGTTAATTTTAAAAGGAAATAAAGCATATAAAATGTAGAACCCTTAAGCTTAAGGAGTTAGTGGCAATGAGGTGACACCAGAATTAATCAAATTTTCAAAAAATTATTTTGTTACAATGATGAAAAAAGTGCAAAATCGGCCTTGCCAAAATAATATATTTTTTAAATAGGATGCCTAATGAATCATTTTGTCTGTAATATTGTTTCACATGGAAACAGATTTTTTTGAATGGGATTTCTTTGATTTAAACAACTGCGTTTAATACATTATTTTTTTTTTCCCTATGACTGTATAGTTGTAATCAGATATATTCAACCCCTTAAAACTTTAAAGAATGTATTATTTGTTGGCAGCAGTATAGTCTGTTAAGTTGCGTCATAATTATTCACACATTATATGAGAATGTTTTTATAGCTGTGAATTTTTAACAACCTAAAATGTTTTAGAAATATAATCAATCCTTTGAGTGACTAATGAGTTTGCTTCATTTTCTTTTTCTGTAAATCAGAGATAAGAGCAAGATGGGTTGGATTCAGGAGAAAGAACTGGAGTGTACACAAAACTGGTGAGAGATAATTTATTCTCACCTGAAGGGGTTTGATTTAAAGGAGATGTCCAAAAATGTTTACATTCAAACAGACCTCACTGGGGGTTTTATGGCAAAGTGTAAAGCAGTTGTGTGACTGATAGCGAGTAAAATCCCCAGATTTTATCAGAGGGCCTTTTTAATTTAGCTGAAAACCCCCTGTTTTGACAGCAGGACATCAAGAACTTAAAAATGTTGGACCAAATGCTTTCAGAGTAACCAATCCATGCCCTGAATAAACAAGGATTTAATGGCAAGACTCCATGGTACACTCCCATGTGAACCACAAAAAGGTAAACATGTGCCTGGAAGAATTTGGTAATAAAACTAAAATAAGAGTTTTAGGAGACAGTCCTTTTGACTGATTAATCAAACTTAAACTGTTTGAACATATAAACCAAAAATATCTCTAGCTAATAAAAAAGCTCAACTTAGAAAGACAGTTTTCGTTGAGTCTAAGTTACAAAAAGTAAAACATGGAGGAGATTTAGGACATTTATGATGTGGGTCTGTAGTTTTGCAGCAGAAACTGCCAACTGTAGGCATCAGTAGTCTGTAGAAAGAACTGTTTCTGTTTCTCTGTTGAAAAATTAAATTGAGAGAAAAACATCCAATAGATTTCATTGGACTTTTCAGAAAAGTAATCATCTCAAGTATTCATTTTCTTTCATCATCAGAATTAAAGTGTATTTTGAGGAAAAAGGGTAAATTAGTTTTGGTTGTAACTGAGCACAATCTGTTTGTTTTTTTCTACAGAAATCACTTTAGAATGTGAAATCTTAATAGGCACAAAAAATGAGTTACAATAATTTATATCAATTTTAGGAAACAATCTTTCCAACAGCTTCGTACTGACCCCTTCTGCTAAACCCATCAGATCTTCTAAGATGGAGTCCAACTCTTGAGTGGGAGAGTCAGGGGGCAGTGCAACTGCAACAGGAGTAGGGAGATCACTGTATACAAAACAAAAACAAATTAATAAAGAAATCAAACACATGCTAACACTTCCAAACCCTTTAAATTAGTTACAAATTCTTTAAAAAATACAGTTTTATTTTTTGTCCTGCATTTGTGCACTAAGCAAGATAAAGTAGGGAATTTTCTACGCATTTTTGAATACATTCTAGGATGTTTGATAGCAGTTTGAATTAGTAAATCAGGAAAAAAAGGAAGAATCTGAAGAAAGAATAACGGCATAAACAAAAAGGAAAACAAATAAGTTATGGACATGAAAGGTAGAGCAAAACAGAAAGTAACGATTTTTATTTTATATTAACCTCTTCTTAAATTGCAGAATTATAAAATGCGTTGTTTGGGATGGTTCAGTTGCTGTTGTTTTTTTTAATACCATGGTTATATCTGTGATACTTGTTTTTTGTAGGAATTGGAACCCAGTATTCTGTGATACAAGGACAGAATTTTCAGAGGATGGACTTTCTTTCTTTGCTGACTGTTTGTTGCTCTAAAAATTGTATTGTTTCTTCAAATTATGTAATTGTGTTTATAGAGAAAACTTTAAATTGTGATTCATCACATCATGGGAATTGTTTCCTGACTCAGCAAACATGTGGCCCTATTGGGTCTTTATGGAATGAAGCCTTGGAGTGAAAGACTGCTGCAGACCACGTGCAAGAAGGAGGAGTTTCACAGATTATTTCAGCTTTTAGTCTTTATAACCATCAGTTTTCAAGGTTGTTTACATCACTGCTGTTAGTTGCAAAGAAAAAAAAATTGTCTGTAGCCATTTTTTATGCACAATTAAACATGCACATTTTGTAGAGCCTTAAATCATCCTACTTATTTGCACATTTCATTTAATCAAATTATGCAATTTTTTATATCTGTAGAGTATCTTCCTTCTTTTGTAAAAAGGATCATTCGATTTAATGCTTTATGTTAACTTTAAATAAAAGAGTTTGAACTTGTGAAAGATGGAAAACGATGAACTTGGTCTGTGAGCTTTTAGTGGTTTCCTTTTATGATCTTCTGATCTTATCCAAATGTTGTTTTGTTTTTTTGTTATTTGCATGTTTTCTGTTTTCTTCTGGGGATTTTTGTTAAGTTGGTTTCTAAAACACACAACTGTTTCACATCCTTTTGACATCCTTTTCTTGCTTTCTTCCCTCTGCCCACTCCTTATCCCTGCCTACTCTGCTTATTTATGATAATGTTATCCTGTAGGTTTGCTTCTCTACTCCCTTGGTTTTGTTGCCAATATATTGTTTCAGCATTTTTCTGTTGTGTCAAACCTGCTTATCATCAACTAGGTTCTTTATCAGCATGTCATAAACTTCTTGAGCCCATTCAGATAAACATCACTGGGGTTTCTCCTAATTTTACGTGACCAACTTTTGTTTTTTTTGTTTTTTTTTAGACAAAACCAACAGGGACCAGACATATAGACCTTACCTGTAGACATTAGAACCAACTGAGCTTGACTCTTTTTTATTGAGTCCACAAAGGATGGCACCTGGCGCCTGCAATGACCACAAAGTTATGATGACATTCATCTGAAACTGTTTTTTTTTATTATTATTATTATTATGTTAGTCGGTTTGAAAATTCACCTGTCCACCAGCTGCAATGCTTCCATTGTTTTCTTGGAGATTGTTAGAACCTGATGGGTTCAAAGCCAGCTCCTCCAACAGTAAATCTGCACAAGGATGGAAATCATTAGTAACACATTCATCCAGTACAGTTTTCATGTTGCAGCTGCAGCATCTAGCAAAAGTATATCTTTTTTTGGCCCTCTTTTTTTTTTTTTTTTTTATCTATTTTGTTAAATTTTAACTTTATTTTTTTACATTTCTTGGTTATCTAAAGTGACAGATTTACATGTTTACTTTTATCTTTTGAATTAATAAAGGAGAAAAGATCAATTTTGCTATTGATAGTAAATTCAGAACCTTGAACAGTAGGATTAAATCGATCAAACTTTGCATCAGACACTTCAGAAGATTTATATCAACCCTGAAAGACTGAACTCATTCAGTGTGTGAGATGTTGCTAAAGGTAGAAATAGGTTAATAGTTTATTATTGGAAGTTTAGAAGAAATGCATATATGCCATGGTAACATAAGCCTTAGCCAGATTTGTCCTATATTAGCTTCTATATACCTGGGCTAAACATACCAAACCACCATGCGGCTGTGTGGTACACCAAGGTACAGAGAGTGGCACCATTACCGGATTTGGCCCAGTTCTTTTTTTAAAATATCAGTTCCCATGCTAGTTCTGGCCGAGAACTTTTCTGCTACGTGTGGTGTGGCGGCATTATCATGGTGTGGGGATGCTTTTTTAGCTAGCCTGACGTAGTCCTACTCAATTCTAGTCAGAATATGAACTTGCCGACCTCAAACGTGGGCGGGACTAAGTTCGGAATGGCACCCAGGCTACTTTTTAGCAGCAGGAAATGGAGAAACTAGTCTGAGTTGAGGGGAAAGGTAGATGACATCCAGGAATAGACATTATCATAACCTTTGTGAGCATGGATGGAGCTTCACATTCCAGCAGGACAATGACCCAAAGCATACTGCTGATCCAACAGTTGATCGGCTTGACGGGAAACATTTAGATATTTTGAGTATGCCTTGTCAAAGTTCAGACCTTAACCAAATTAAGCACCTGTGAGCACCTTTCACTCAAATCATACACCAAGGAGTTGGAGTCGGGGTTTTTTGCCTTATGTAGTGGGCACAGGTGGGTAGTAACTAGTTGCATTTATACAGTTGCATTTGCTTGAGTAACATTTTCAAAAAATGAGTAATATTCTTGTAAAGTTTTGCTACCCCTACTTCAGTAAAATCTCTGACTAATCTGTCTTCTGTGAGTAATTATAATCTGTAACCATTGCAAGATCAGCCAAACATGCATTAAACAGTAGATATCATCAATGGAAGGTCTTCACCCTGTCCTAACAAATATGCACTTCTCTCTGTAAGGATTGGTTTTATATGGAAAAGATATTTGATAAAAGTGTTTGTTCTGCATTAATTTGATCTTATATATTCATGAGATCTATTTGTATTTTCTGTGCAATTGGGTCTTGAAAAATTCCAGGACTTGCACATAAAATCTGTCTATCATTTCTAAACTCAAGTAGCCTTTTCACTAAATACTTATTTTACTTTTACTTGAGTAAAACAATGTTGAAGTATTGCTACTCTTAGTTGAGTACACATTTTGGGTACTCAACACATCTCTGGGATTGGGCAGAAACTTCAGCTGCAAAATGTGGCTAGGTGATAGAGACTTTCTGAAAGGAAGGTATCATTGCAAAAAAAATAAAATGGTGCTACAAAGTAGAGGGGGCGCAGAGTTATGCTCATTGCCTTATTTAGAATAAACAAATGAATACATCTTCAAAGTTGTGGTGATGCTCTGTTAACAGTTAACTGGAGCAAACTTTAAAACAATCAGTTTAATTAATAATGCAAGGTCATGAAGAAGAAAAGTATAATAAATGAATGCTTTCATGGGCTAGTGTAAAAACATTCATGTTAATCAGTAGAAGGTTGATTTGTGCAAAGCAAGGGATTTCCTGTGCATATCAAGGTGCAAGTTGGCTGAGGTTGTTTCATAAAAGTCGGCTTCCTGAGGAAATGAGAATATGTTACGTTGCAGAAGTGAAACTTGTCACAATGTCACAAGTATATGGTGACAAATGCCGAGGCGATTACTTGCCAGCGTTTTGTACTACATTATAAAAGGGAAACACATAGGAAATCAATCTAGCCTGTAAAATCAAAATTACACTGGTTCAGGTATAAAAGAGAAAAGGTTGTGGTTGATGAAAAGAAAATCAGGGGTTCATCTTAAGTCCAGATAAATGTCTTAAATGTTGAAACTACAGTGAAGCCATTGAATTAAGTGCAAATGTAAAGATGATCACATCAAATATCTCCGATCAATGTTTTTCAAGCACAGTCAGCAAGATTCCTACACAGTAAAATTTTAGCGGCACAATAAAAGAACATAAATAAGCTGGTAAATAAAAAGAATAAATACTTAAATATCTAATGCTTGCAGTAAATACTGAGCAGCAGAGATGTTGATCTCACTGAAGTCAGGTCTTCAAAAACTGTACCTATAATGTGTTTTAATGTAATCATCAGAAAATCACCTTACCGAGCTCATCCATACTGGTTCCTGCTCTCAAATTTCGGGTGTGTGCTGTTGTTCTGCTGGCTTGTTACTGAGGTAACCAGCCTTGTTTCTCATCAGATACACACCACTACTTCCTGCAGGGACTTTTTTTTTTCTTAGCAAAAAAAAAATGTATGAAATCTCTGTTATAAGATGAAAATTTCAGGTTTTATCTCTATTTTGTAAGCAACTGTTGGTTAACTGCTGCTCATCATTTGTGGTCAGCTCCGAAATGTTTGGTATTTACCCAATGCTTGTTTTTCCTAGATGGTAAATGATTAAAACTATATGTTAGGGAATGCTTTTATTTTAACAATTAAATTTGCTTCATTAAGATTTTTGAATAGCTAGCTATTTCTGTTATTCTTTTTTTTGAGTACCAACACAAAAAATAAAACTGTCAAAAATTTAGTCTAGAAGTGATATAGAACCATCACCTTTGAGCCATTTTACCCACTAACACAAACAGGACTTGACTATTCACACAACACGCAAACCACATTAAAGAAACCAAAGAAAATACTGTGATGTTTGTACTGATATATTAAAATATATATCCCATTTTTTTCTGTATCGTCAATGCTTCCTTCTTTGTTTGTTCACACACTTAAAAAAGTTTAAATCTGCTAATCTTACTAGACTAAAAGCTCTTACACCGTCATATGGCTCTCCATTTCTAAAGGGTTATAAATAATTGCAAAACATTTAAGTTCTTCTGCAAAAAAAATTAATCACCTCAAGTCTACATATAGAAAGCAGTAATGGCCCATGATAACTTGCAGATAGAACGATAACTTTTTTAAGTGTGGAAAATGTCAATAATGGTAGCAAAAGCATAGAAAATGTACAATTTGAAGTATAGACGAAGCACCTGCATGCTACAGGAAACATAACCTCAGCCACATTTGGCCCCTTTTAGCATCTACTATCCATATCTGGACAAGAGCTACTAAATCACCATCTGGCTACATGCGGTATGCCATGTTACAGATGGAGCCATAATTAACAGACCTGGCCTTGTTCTTATTAAAATATCAGTTGCCATAAAATACTGCAATGATGAGATGAGTTATTTGATTGCCATATTATTTTTTATGATTAAGTAAATAATAACTTTTATTGTTTAGGTAATTCTGTAAAAATAGGACAAGATTTCTAAAGCAGAAATTATTCGCTATTTTTATGGAGTTTACTGGTTAAAAATCGACCTGTAGGACCCCATTTACAGGTAATTAAATATATTTCTATTTAGTTCAGACATGTTAATTCATAATTCATGATTACTTTTGTCTTTTTATCTGTAATGGCATCTTGCTTTAACTCTTTGTACCCTATATAATTCAATTCATTTCAGGTTATTTATATAGCGTCAATTCACAACACGTCATCTCAAGGCACTTTACAATTCAACCAGATCATACAGTCAAACTTTTTCAAAGTTTTCTATCTAAGGAAAACCAGTTAATTGCATCGACTTATTGATTCAAAGGCAATCCCTCACCCCAAGCATGCTTGTAGCGACAGTGGAGAGAAAAACTCAATTTTAACAGAAAGTAATCTCCAGCAGAACCAGGCTCAGTGTGAGCGGCTATTTGCCGAGGCCGACTGGGGTTCAGGGAGACAGAAGCAGACCTACAGACAGAAACAGAGATACAAAAGGCAACTCTCAAACAGCTCCACAGGCTTCCCGGTCCAGGAAATACACAGCCAGACAGACGAGCTACGAGCCAGCTCCCATGTTAGCCAAGGAAGAGAGTACATCTAACTAGGATCAGCCAGAGAAACAGGACCACTCAGAAAAACAGGCCCGAACATCTACAAACAAAGGTGTTAATGGCAGCAGCTCAGCTGATACTTCTCTCCAGGATGATGTCACAGCCAAACAGGAACAGACCACATGAACCTAGTATGAGAAAAAACAGAGAGAGCACAATTAGAGATTGAACTAACTAATTCTGCAGAGTGGGAGAATAGAGATAGACTGAAGAAGAATGATGACAAGGGGGTCCATATGTCCTCCAGCAGTCTAAGCCTATAGCAGAATAACTATAGAGATAGCTCAGGATAACCTGAGCCACTCTAACTATAAGCTTTATCAATAAGGAAAGTTTTAAGCCTAGCCTTAAAAGTAGACAGGGTGTCTGCCTCACGGACTAAAACTGTAAGTTGGTTCCACAGGAGAGGAGCCTGATAACTAAAATATCTGCCTCCCATTCTATTTTAGAAATTCTAGTAACCACTAGTAAACTAAGAATGAAGTGCTCTGTTAGGAACATAAGGAACAATTATAACTCTGTTTTAAGACGGAGCTTGGCCATTTAAGGCTTTATGTGTGAGAGGGAGGATTTTAAATTCTATTCTGGATTTAACAGGAAGCCAATGAAGAGACGCTAGGATAGGAGAGATAAGATCTCTCTTTTTAATTTTCATAAGAACTCTGGACTTCCTGATAGTAAAGAATGACAATAGCCAAGCCTTGAAATAACAAATGCATGGACTAGTTTCTCAGCATCACCCCTGGACAGGATATTTGTAATTTTTGCAATATTCCTTAGATGAAAGAAGGAAATTCTAGAAACCTCTTTTATATAGGAATTAAATTACAAATCCTGATCAAAATTAACCAAGATTTTTCACTTTATTATCTGAATCCCATCCAAAAGAAGAGACTGACTAATCAACTTACTGGATATCCGCAATATAATAGTAGGAGTAATCCCTAGGAATAAATAAAGTTGAGTCTAAGTCTAGATGTGTTAGACAGTCATTGCTTTTTAATTTATTTTTCAAAAGCTTTATACCAACATTGAAATTACCAGTCAATAAGGTCATTTAAAAATAATTTAATTGTACTTTATTTATCTCACATTGGGAAATTTAACTCTGCAATCAACCCATCCCCTTGGGGAGCAGTGGACTGCCATCATGGGGCACCCGGGGAGCAATCGGGCTATAAGGGTCTTGCTCAGAGACCCAGGGTGGCAGTCTGTGGGAGTGGGTTTCAAACTCACAACCCCAGGATTCCAAGCTCTATGCCTAACCCTAACCCGTATAAATTATATATTATAAAAATCAAATCAAATTATATATAAATCAAATCTATAAATCTATAAATAAAACTATATATATCATATAGAAATCAAATCAAACTGAAATCAGATTGAAATGAAAGCCACAGCTATGTTTTTTAATCATTGATTTTTCTCTCTCTTACAGCTAAAAACAGCAACAAAAGTGTTTTAATGCTTTCTGGAAATGCTTCCAAAACCCAAACAACAAAATTCGTGAAAAAAAGGGTCCCAACCCATGTTTTGAACCAGAATTATTCTTAAAATTTTAAACAGCAGTAGCACATGTCAAACATACGGAAGATGGTTAGGGCCATTTTTTTTTTTTTAAAGTTAACAGATTTTTACATTTTATTTCAGTTTCATATAGGAAAAAAAGTCAGATTTCTGACTTTAATCTCAGAATTCTGACTTTTTTCCCATATGAAAAGTTTTATATGGGAAAAAAGTCTTAGAATTCTTACTTCAATCTCAGGATTCTGACTTTTTTCCCCTCAGAATTCTGACTTTTTTCCAATGAAATAAAATTTTTAAACCAGTTAACTTTTTTTATTTTTTCAGTAGCCCTAATCCTCTTCCGTACAAACACATAAACTGGAATTAGGGAATAAAATGTCCTAAACTATCCATCTTAAAAGTGTAACTTACATGCACAATATCTGTGCATGTAGTTTACAAACATGTAGACACAGTGAAATAAATACTGTTGTGGTGTTTTTTTAATAACAAAAAATTATTATCTAAACGTTTATTCAAACAAAACGTCGCTTAGTTAGTTTAGTTAGTTTTTTAGTTAGTTAGTTAGTTTTTTTTTCAAATATTAGTTTCTTTTTCCCGTTTCTCTGCACCATGTGGTAGTCATCTGCTTTATCTCGCACCACTCGGTTGCAACCATTTAGTAAAAATGTAGGGTGTCAGATGTATATGTGTGGAGTAATTAAAACTAGCTCATTGTGAAATTTCTCAGATTTTATGTTTTATATAAATTAAAATGTCAGCTATTAATATTTTCTAAATGATTTAACCATCAATTTCAATTTTCCCCTCCTGTATAATAACCTATATTTTATTTTGTCTTCCTGTTCTCCCCTACCTGGTTGTTTGGTCGTTCCCGGAAGTTTCTGTGTTTACAGCTGCCCAGGGTTGTAGCTGCGGGAGCAGTGGTTTAACGAAGATTAAATGGAAGTTGTTTTATATGTTTCTACAGACGAATAACATGCTAAAGTGCGTGTTTGTATTAGCAGCAACCCTTGGTGAAAATCACGATTTGGAGGATTGAGAGCTCTGGCCATGTTGGCTAACGTTGCTACGAGGTTAACGCGCGAGACGACAGTAGCAGCAGCTGCTAATTGAACAGAGCGGCTACCTGGTCCATCCAGTCCAGGAAGTTAGGTATGTCCGCCTCACCCTTCAAGTAGGTGTACGTGGATAAAACACTCAGTCATACCGGTTTATGGCTCTGTATTGTGGCAGGAGGAAGCGGGGTCATGGGTGCGGAGAGCAGTGCGGTGCGGAGCTGCACTCTGCTGGAGGAGCCGCTGCTGACTCTGCCGTCCGGACCCACCATGTACTCCGCGGTTCTCCAAGACGGGAAACCTGCCTCTGTGTTTGTCCATAAGATGGGTAATGAAGACAATGTCAACAAAGCTGCTAAGGTGGGCAAAGCACTAGACATTCATCTGGGGAGTTTCTGCAACATTTGCCTTCCTTACTCCATTATAGTGCTAGCACTGACTCACCTGCAAAACAATATATAATATTAATTTTAATGTTTGTCTTTATCTGTTTAAGATTATAATATCAGCTACAAAAATGCATTTAAAACACAAAGCCTGATACAGAGGAACATATGAAAGTTTGTGATTTTCAGAAGTCTTTATTTTTACCAACTTTACTGCTTATATCATAGGACTAAATTGCTCATAAGTTTGCATTAAAGTGCAGGGAACTGCAAAAATAATAATCAAACATTAAT